TTTTTTTTTTTTTTTTTTTTTTTTTTTTTTTTTTTTTTTACTTCATCATCACCCAACATTCTTAGGAGAAAAGAAACTACAAGCTCAGTGAACCAGTATCTACTTTGGCTAATGGGGTATGAATCTACATTAGTGACCCTAGATGGACTGGAGATCATAACAATAAGCAAAGTGAGAACAAATGTTTTCTCTTTGGCACTAGGAACATTCCTAGTCTCACTGGCAGAGCCTTTGAAGGTCTCACAAGTTTTTCTGGCTGGTATTCAGAGGGTTAAGTCAATGACCAGATAGCAGCCTTTTGGCACCAAGCTCCTCCTCGGCAGAAGGAAGGATATAGCTGTATGAACAGCCTGCTTAACAATGGCTCACATGTCCCCAGGGAACCGCCTGCAAATAGATTTCATCTTGCTTTCTCTTGTACTTTTCAAAGCTTCCTGTTTTCTCACGGTCCTTTTGGACAGTTTACAGTCTTTCTCCCTCTCCCTCTCTCTTTGAGGAAAGGAACACCCTTCTTATGAAGGGAAAAAAAAAATAAAGAAGAATGCAAGGGAAAGAGAGCACAGCAGTAGCCTTTCTACTTTACCACATGCAGTGGTTTTCTTTACCTTTTTCTCACAGCAAAGAAAACATGATGCTTTCCTATGCGTGTAATCACAGCTAAGCACAGACTATCTGAAAAGAGGGAGCAGAAAATAGTTGCCCCTTCTGTTTTCTCACCCAGCTGAAGCCTGCATCTGTGTTTCATTACTCTCTGAAGAATGTTCATCTCCATGGCTTCTGAAGGCCTGAGACCATGCTTTCTTCTTATTTGTTTTAAACAAAACCATAGAAGAGTTCTGAAGGATTTGCTCCAAATGGTGTAACAGGGCTCACTGTGTCTGTCAAAGGATAATTCTCTGAAATTTGAAGTTCCTTCTTGTGCAGAAGTTAATAATGTTCCTTATCAGCATTAAGGAACGTGGTGAAGTTTTCTCACATGCAGCCAGCCAAATATACATTGCAGCGGATATTTTGAAATTGCCACTGTAAATACATAGTTAAAGGTAAGCCTAAACAATTTTGGTTTATGACTGTATATCAAAATATCTTCTTTCCAAGTATGAAGTAGTGTATTTATTTTGGATGAACTGGGCCAATGACTGGAAGCAATCTTGTATGAGACACAGTCTCTGTGCCCATCTGGTACTGCTTTTTCAGAAGTGTCAGTCTACACCACTTTTACCCATTGCACATGAAATTGTGGTTTTAGACCAGGAGTTTAAGCCAAAGAAAAAAATGAGATATAAGTACTTTGGGAAAAAACAGAACAGACTGACAAATGTAGAAGGTGCTATTTCATGCAGTGGCTTAGGAAGAAAAAATTTATTGTTGATCTGAGTCAGCATTTCTAACACACTGTGCTGAAGCCCAGCCAGTGCATCAAAATGTGTTTAGCAGACTTACAGCTGATTTCCTTCTCTTTGGGATGAGAATGTTATTTTATCTAAACTGGAGAGCCTAAAATAAGGTCCACAAGAAACCATGCTGTCCCTGTTATCTCAATGTCTTTCACACGAGATATTCGTCCATCTGAATGCTCAGATTCTGCGTTTTGTTCTTTTCCATGGTTTTGGATCATCAGTGCTTGCAGCCCTGTCCTATAGAGGAAGTAAACATTTGCGTCTTCCTAGTTTGGTCTGCAAACCCATTTGTTGTGTGTTAGCTGTAAATCTCACCTAGCACTGACTTGCTGTCTTTCAGCATGTGAGCCTTTCAACTGCTCCCTTCACACTCTGAATCATGGGCATTCATATGAAACTTTTCTTGTATCTTTTGAAAAGGATAATTTACCAGATACCATGCCTCATGGAGCCATCACCCCCCAAAATATTTTTATATCTGCACTTCTTTCATTTTCCTGCCACAAATCTCAGCTCTGATACCATTTCTTCATGGTCTTGTCTGAGGACAGGAAGAAATTACCCATCCCTAAGATCATGCAGGACTTTGGGAAATGGTAAACCTACTTTCTTTATTCAAAGACCCAAAAACATAATACTGTAAGGGAATAACCTTTAGGAAGTTGCCTTGCTAGAAAGAAACGCTGCTGCTGTACAAATTTTAATACTCAGTATCCTATATTTAGACACAGATTTGCATGAAGTAGTCTAGCCAATTGCCTGTTGAATCAGATTTTCCTCTAATATCAATACAGATGGAAAAGACCTAGCTATGAGAAAGCAAAAGTTGGTGAGAACATAGGTCAGACAGAATGGAAGCAGCCAGAAGCTTTCTGTTAAGAAGTGTTAGAGGAGTATTATGATGACATTCTTATAGGCAGAGAGATATTGACACACCATAGACTGTTGAAGCAGCTGTCAATATCTGCTCTTCCTTGTCATTTTTCTGTGCTGCTCAGTGCCTCTCCTCTTTGTTTCCTCAGAGCACATTCAGCAGGTGTTTTCGTGCTTTCATTTCATTGAATGTAATTCATCAGGTACATTAGCTTTCTTCGAACACAAAGGAGAGACAGTTGAGTGGATGGATGACCAACCATCATCAGATATCTTTTACAAATTCCTAACTCATTTTCAGTAGCTTTTTTTTTTTCCCCACACTTTCTCTGGGAACATCTTGTTGATAAATTTATTAGCAGAATATTTTATTAAAATCATAGGAAGAAATAATGTGTTTGAAGTAAAATCATTTTAAAAGCAAAGGAGTATTTCCACAATTTTTCTTTTTGAAGCGTTCAATCAGTTCTGCTTGTTTTTAAAAAGCAATACTTTTCAAAATTTTTATATTAGCAAGCTGCTTTTCCATTTTGGTTTCAAGAGCAAAGATTGTACCATTACTTCATTGAAGATCATTTCACCACCTCGATTCCATCCAAGGAATCAAAAATCAAACTGGACCAAAAGTTTGTTGGAGCCTCATTAATTGCTTTTTAATCATTTTCTGCCAGATGACTTGATAAAATTCCTGTTACTCAGTTGTAGTGACTATGTCTCGTATAGTAACAAAGACAGTGGTAGGATTATTCAGACAATAACATTATTTGTCTAAAATCAGTGTGAAAAAAAAAAAGGTAGAGGTAGGAAGCAAACACAGATTTTTACATAGGACGGAAATAGCCACTTGAATGTGAATAAAATTATAAATCCTTTCAAGGAAAGACAAGAAGACAAGTAAGGCAAGAAGCTAATAGTACTGATGTCAAACTCCCATGTCTTGAAACTACATTTGATTTATAAGGGATGGAACTACAAAAGGACACATCTAGAAAAACAACAATGAAAAAAATTCTTTATTGTTTCATCAAAGGGAAACCTGTAGGATCAATGGCTCAGTTGACAGGAACATGCTTCATGGAAAGCTGAGTCATTCTTATGGCCCCATGCCTGTTTAAATTCCAGCTTACTCACCAGAGACATCAAAATACAGCAGCTGGTAAACAGAAGATGAGAAAATCAACGACAAAAGGGAGAGAAAGAGGCAAAGAAAAAAAGAAGGAATTGCTTTTTTTTCCTGGCTTTAAGCAAAATGTGCAGTCGTTTCCAGTACACTAAAAGAGAAGTGATATTCACAGAAACTTCTCATTTAATTATGTGTCTCCATTTCTGCCTGGCATTATTTTTGAATAAAGGACAGTTTTATAATCTACAAACAAAATAGTTCACTGGGATAGAAAGTTATAATTTCATTCAAGTCAAGAGCCTTTTGGGTTTCATGCTTAACTCTTCCCACTTCTTACAACACTCCCCAATTGTAAGTAATCTGTATCCATGTGTCTCTCTTGGTCACCACTTTTTAAAAGTGGCAGCAAAACTGGAAGCCCTGGAGAAATCACTCTCAATCATATATATACTTCTCTGTAGAGTTTCACTCTATAACAAACTGCAGCCAGAAGTTGCCAAGGCTTATGCTAGGAAAGATAGGCTCTATTTGCTTTTAAAAATATTCACCTTGTAAAGTCTCCTACAATCTAGTTACAAATTAGTTTCACTTTACTGTTTTGTGTTTGTTTGTTTGTTTGACAGCTTTGTGGAAAGGAGTTTAACCGAATGCACAATTTAATGGGACATATGCACTTGCACTCAGACAGTAAACCCTTCAAGTGCCTCTACTGTCCCAGCAAATTCACCTTGAAAGGAAACCTAACCAGGCATATGAAAGTCAAACACGGGGTCATGGAAAGAGGATTTCATTCTCAAGGTAATATTTATGGGCAAAATTATTCTCTGAGAGATTTGGACATGCATATCAGTAATCTTACATGGGTCTTTACTACAGACTTACAATCTTATATCATAGATCCAATGCAACTGTTAGAGATTGAATCCTGTAAGCCTGGGAGTTTGTTATTAACTATTTATATTACTTCTGTGCTACGGATCAGAGCTGTCCAAGACAGCAACTCTGCTCTCTGAAACCTTTCAAACAAGATTTCTGATGACATAGAGATGCAGACTGAGATGGAGTAGTAGTTGGAGAGAAAATGAGACAGTAATGATAAGAAAGTCACTTTGGCACACTAAACTTGCCATTTTCAGACGATAGGGAGAATGCAATCAGTAGTGCTAAAGCAAAAGATTTATCAAGTCATAGCAAATGTTCTTGTACTTAAGCTCACAAGCTCCATCACTGCAGGAGAGGTGCAATATCAACAGCCCCGCAAAGCTGCTCCTAGTATGCGGCTATCCCTGACACACAAATGATAGGGAGCAGGTGTGCATTCAGTTTTAAGAGACATTAGCACACACAGCTGGTCAGAACATTGATGAAATAGCATTGGTCTTCCTAATGGAGGGTGCAATTACACAATTTCTGAATAAATTTTACAGTTCTGGGGGTATTTGACAGACCATGGCTTAGCAGCCATGAGCAAGCAGACATTTTGCCCCATACTCATCTAGTTTGTATGTCTTCTTTTATATTTGAGGTATATCTACATGGTTTTAAACATGGAGATGAACTGTAAATCCACTCAAAGATGATAGAAGCAAAAAAACCTGGAAATTTTCACAGGTCTTGCTCATTGTTCATTGGATTCCTGGCCAGAATGGGAATGCAAGCCCATGTAGCTCTACATCCAGGAGCCTTTCTACTCAGTATACATTTGTTCTGTGCTATAGTGATGAATTTGATTCTCAGCAAAAGTCATAAGCTCACACTCATATTACAGAGACACATGAACGAGAGAGGACAATCCTCCCTTATTTCAAAGTATATGGAGTCTGACCACTCTGGTAGTATTTTCTACCACGTACACGCACATCTCCTAAAATCAGCCTTATGTGCACGAGTGACTATCTAAAGAACTGATGGAATTAGAAAGGATTGTTTGGAGAATTTCAGTACTAAAGATGTTCTGTTTGCTTAGAGTTTCTGGATAAATAATTCTATCATGGGTAATATTTCACAGCATTCCTCAAAGTCAGGCTTTAACACAACCTAACACATATGGAAACACGTCTTCTAATGATATTTGGCATACAATGTTCAAAGATTGTAACAAGTAATGGGATAAATGGCTCTTTTTTTTTTCCCTTTAGTCTCCTATAGCACTGTGCGAGTTATACAATTACTTGTAATTGAAGACAGCCTAAGTGCTTTTCAGCATACAGAGATTCTTCAGCCCTTGAGGCTTATCAGTCAGGAGACAATTTGTAAGGGCTGCCACCTGCTCATGAGCCATTTTAATGAACACAATACAGTTGCACAGCAGCAGCTGCATCTTGAACGGCTGCATAAATCCCAGACATTGGATCACATTACTAAGAGGGACAAAAAAGCAAATAAAGCAAGCAAATAAAATAGCTTTTATTATAGATTTTTGCTGCTGAGTGAAATCCCAGTAGTGTCACCTTTGTTTAAATTGAGATGGACTATGCCTGCAATATCTGAATTTTCCTCTGTGAATCCTGATGTTCAGAGCACATTTTGAGTCCACTGTTGCCTTCTGGGCAATGTCTGGGTTTCCAACAGAGAGGAGACGCTCTGACAAATATTAAGACAGAACAGACCAAGGACCACACTCAGACACACTGTGCAGCTCGAATTCATCATTTGATTATGGTGATTTCCTCAAGCTGAAGGACATAGAACATTTCAGTGACTTTGGATGAGAGTGAAAAAGTCAAAGGGAGATGAAGTTTTAGACAGATGGAACAGGATTGTATTTTCTCTTTATAGTAATATCTTTGAACACAAGTGTCTGCAGAACAACCATATTAAAACATTTTAAATCTCTTCCACTCTTCTGGAAAAAAAAAAAAAACAACACAAAAAGTGGAACTTTGATTATGGTATGTGATGGTTTAGATCAAAGCCTTCACTAAAAAAATAGGAAGAAGGAAGTGGGTAGGTTCACTGGCAAAAAATAGTTTACAAGAGGCCAGACACTTCACTTTTATTCCTAGCTCTCTCTCAAGTGTCTGGCATGTACAGCAAAATGTTATGTGTGCCCTGACCTGCCTGCGAGGTAAATACTTCTTTTTAAACTTTAAAGGGCTTGGAGATAACTGAGTGATAACAAAGGTAACAAAGGTAAACAAAGACCATCTCAGGCTTTATGTTTTAACCGTGAACTATATAGAAGCATTTGCTGTATGTAAATTGTTCTTTTTCTCCCCCTTTGAAACACTGCAAGGTTTTGGAAGAGGGAGAATTGCTCTGTCTCAGACAAATGTGTTGAGAAGCTTGGAACAGGAAGAGCCCTTTGATCTTTCCCAGAAAAGCCAAGGGAAGGGGATCTCATTTCATTCGGATGGTGAGAGTGCCAAGGGAAGTTCATGCCAAGAAGAAGAGGAAGACAACTGCTATGAGACAGAGCAGTACAGCCCTGGTGTGTACCATCATGACAACAACAAGCTGTACGTTCCTCAAGATCTGTCTGGCAAACCACAGTGCATGATGAAGGGATTCAGAGAGTCTTACTGCAGTGAGAAGGAAGAAATGTTAAGTGAGGGAGGACTGGAGAAGAGAGTAGGAGATTCTGACAATCAGGAGAGCCCAGGAGAGAGAGACCTCGGAAATGACAAGGAGCACCTGAGCTTTAGAGCCTTTGAAAAGGCCAGTCTGGGGCATTCTCTCTCTGATTACTTGTATTTCAAGCACAGGAGCAAGAGTCTGAAAGAATTACTGGAAAGAAAAATGGAAAAACAGACAATGCTTATAGGCATTTAAATGGGTGTTTGTTTTAAAACAGCTGGAAAATAAGAAACAAATAGCTTTGAGCATGAACTGTAATTTACTAGAGGTTGGAATTTTGCAGTAGTCTTTACAAATGAACAAGCCCGAACAATAAAAATATATTAAAGTAAAAAACATACATGAAAAGAACAAAGCAGTCCACAAAGATCAAGAAACACATTAGATTTTGAACTGTAAGATTTTTATACTTATCCATTTGGCATACAGCAGACGATAGGATGGGTATAGAAGTTTATTTTCCTCTATCTGGTATCTGGGGTGGTATGTATTACACTCCATTTTGTAGTTATCAGAAAGAAAACACTGTAGTGTTTCATTTATTATCTTCCTAAATATATTCAACCACTTCTAACCACAGTTCTCAAAAAATTTGAAAATACTAGGTATTTCACAGCATAAGCAAGAGAACTGCTTATGGTGTACAAAAAATGCCATCCACCTCAGATCACTTCATATACTGCTATGACTTACAATGAGGAATGGGAAAAAAGTTATGAAGAAATGCTAACATCTTCATTTTGTGAGTCAGTGAAGTGTAGAGGTCTAAGACGTTGGAAGGGCTGGAATTCTTTATGGTCACAGAAGCTTTTTCTCTGGCAAAAGGATTGCCTGTGTTTTGCTGTTTCAGTCAGTATGGAAGCTTTCAGCAGTTCTTCAAATGAAATGGCATGAACTGTGTTGACATTTTGTTCTAATGTCTGCTCACACCAATACATTTAATGAGCAGCAGCACGTAGTGTTTGCAAGTATTGCTGTAATTACACCTAAAACAAAGAGAACAATTTCATTGAGAAAATAATGTAGTTTTGCCATTTCTCTTCCAGTTTACCTTGGCAAGCAGACATGATTTTTAAAATACAAAGCCCAGTCAGATTTTGTTTTGGAAGGGATTCCAAAAAAGAGCCTGGTAAGGGTGAAGTAATATTCACAAAGAAAGACAGGTTTTTTATTTTCTTTTATCTGAGTCAGAATTTTTCCCTCATTAACACAGGTTGACCAGTAAGCTTCTGCCCTTTCAGAATAATTCCACTCATGCTGTTTTAATGAGTCATTCCCAGCTTTTTATTATGATTCTCATATAATTATATTTCATAGCAAAGATACTAGAAGCACATTCCATTAAGCACATTCCATCAATAGCATTATTTGGCCAGCACCTTGAATACTACATCTTCAGCATACAAGATGTGGCCCCAAGCCATTCTGTTGCTTATAAGGAAATAAAGATATGATATGTCATTTAATTATTCCTATATCATTTTTGGAAATTATAGCTCAATAGGTTAAACTCCTCTAAATATGGTATTTCATTTCCAAATATTGCTACCTTCTTCATTTCCCTACAAATATCTTAATTTGGAATACCTTGTTATCATGCTTAATATTTATTATGTAGGTAACTCCAAAAGTAATGCCTTCTATTTATTTATATGGGAACACCAAAAGATACAAAGAGCACAGTAACACTGCTCTATAGAAAAATTCTCAGCTACAAAACACTGTTTTCTGGTATAGTCACCACCAGTGGCTATGCATTTTCACCAGTGATGAACAAAAGCCTGCATGCCAAGCTCATAACAATCCGCACCAGTGGAGGTGACCTGCTGTTGCTGTCATCACTGCTGAAGTGCACCACCCACCACCTCTCCGTGCTCACCCCCACTGCTTGTTCTCCACAAACATTCAGCAAGCATCCGTGAATGTGGGTGCCATTTTTTTTTGCATGGAGGAATTCAGTGGCACACCTTTGGTTCATACACACCTCCATGTCAGATGCTATTCAGAGTGCCCCTCTGCTGTCGTCTGTTACATGACAACAAGATGCAATGGGATGTTGGTGGGAAGGCTCAACCTCTATTGTCATACCACCAACATACGTCTCTGATGTCATGGACCAACATAACATAGGAGGCATTACTTCTGGAGCAGCCATTGTAAGTTATATAAGTACAAAGTCACATACTCATGGCTTGCTAACGCAAGAAGCCTGTTGCTGCAGCTCTCTGCCATTATAAGAAACCTCTCACATTACAGAAAGAATAATTATCACACCAGCTAATCAGCAATAACAAAGCAACAGTACTTATTTAGAATACAAAACTTTGTTTATATAGGCTGAGGTTGTAGGAGGTGGTTCTATTTTTCAGTATTAAAACCTGGCATAATAAGAATTCTGAATGACTAGGAAAATAAGCTGTTGGTGTAAGAAGTTTTACAGTACAGTTCATTCCTCTAAATATAATTAACCGTAGTTGATGTACATACTTTTTAAAAATAAAGAGGATATATAAAATTGATGTGGAATGTAGGTGATTTCAGGACTAGACTGAATGATGTCTTTCAAAATAGGGTATTTTTCAGATGGTTTATCATGTACATTTTTTCATATACATTCAACTTGTTCCTTGCTTCAACTGAAAGATAATTCCTTTTTAAAGTGTAATGTGTACAGCTGCTTTCTTTCTTGGACTACTGGAAGAGTCATCAGGTAGAAGAAATTCAGTGTGATCTACAAGTCTGTCTCTTAGAAATGGGAGAAATGACATTTACCTTCCTGGTAATGTCTTGCTTCTACCAGACAGAAGTTCCTGTTTTGGAATGCATACAGCCAACAGCTGAGTACCACAAACCCTTGGAAATATCTCTATCAAGCAGAAACACTTCCATTCCACTTCTGCAGCCATAGCAGTTCCTATAATAACACGAATAAGCAAGAGATAAGGAACATGGCTGCAGGTCCTACATTTTTTTTCTTTAATGCAATTTATATAACTTATGTATTTATATACTGTGCTAACCATATACATGCAGAAAGTAAAGTAATTGGAGTACCCGGAATGGCAATGCTATTTGGGATTAATCTGTAACATACATCACTTTTCCTGCATTTTTCCCATTACAGTGAGACTTGGAGAATGTGCCCAGTCACATGGTCACCCTAAGTTCATTCATAAGTGCCTCGGGTTAACTCATGTTAGAGTAGTAAAGAATTTGTTTAAAAGCCCAAGTCACCAGTCAGAGGAATTGCAAACAAAAGCAATACTGAGATAAAGAGAGGAGTGTCAAGTGAGCCATGCAAAGGGATTAGGAGGTGGCAGCCCTGCCTGCTGCAGAACGTAGTGTAGCTGAGTTTAAGACACTTGTTATAAAGAGGCCTCTAGGGACAAATTATAAGCGAAATAACAGCCTTCATTGTGAAGCACCTTGCTTGTCAAACATAAGTTATTTTCACAGTATTTACATTGGCACCATTCTGGGAACAGACAGTAACAGCCTTTGCTTTTTAATAGCTTTGAAAATGCTTTATAGAAGTTTACTTTCATAATGAGGCTATTTCCCATCTCTGGATTTTGAGGGATTAGCTTCCTTGTTTTGCTTTCAATAGAGACCTAGTAATCCTGTAGAGACATTTTCTGCGTCCTGACCTTGGGACAATCTTTTTTCTTTCTTTACTGATTCCTAAAAGGAGTCTATCTGCTCTCTTTTTGCAATATTGTAGACAAAAATGCTTATATCTGATTCTTCTCTGTTATTTGAATTTTCAGCTTTGATACCATAATAAATTGAGGCCCAATCTTCATCACACTTATCACATCCATATAATTTTTCCTGCGTTATTACAAGAGCCTAAGTTCATTCTCTTGGAAAGCATCAAAACAAATGAGAGTGAGCACAAACTCATACAGCTGTGATATTTCCCAAAGCAGATGCTCAGGAAACTTTGCTGAGTCAACAGTAAACAATGCAACACCATAATGAGGTTGAGCAAATGAAGGCATGTGGCTTGTTAAATCAGAGACTTTTCTGCTCTTTATAGCAGCAAAGAGAATTCTGGAAGACACTGTCAGACACAGAGTAGAGGATGGAAATTCAAAAGCTGGATTAAGAAAATCTGAGGATAAAGGAACATAATATGTTTGTTAAGAAAGAGAAGTAGTAATCTGAAATGAGTGATGTTTTGAGTTTGGCCACCAGTACTCAGCCATCCCCTTGTGACATGGAGTTCTCTTGGTTGCCAAGCAGCCTCTGATTTGTGATAGCAAGGATGGGTGCGATGTGCTCAGTAAATCAAAGGATAAAACACTTTATAATAATGCTATAACAGAATTTTATCCTGTGCTGCGCCTCACAAAACACACTCGTGGAAAGTTAGAAGAAACGCCTAATTCTACTGCACTCACCTCTTTACAAATCTGCCTTGATCCCATAGCTATTCTCTGATTTCTCTCTTCATATGGTGCTGCTGGACTCTGCTATTATTAGTGTACGGTTAAGAAGTAATATAAGTACTGTATTTATTACACCAAGAGTTTCTAATAATTATTAACAGTTTTGAAAATAAATTGTGTCTGCTTAGCTGAACAAGATATAACAGAGCTAACATTTTGTATTCCTAACAAATTTTGCGTATAGTATGGTGTATATTTATTTCACACAAAATTCTGGGTTGTTATTTGAAACCCGAACTCAAAAAATGGACCAACTTTCTGAATACTTAGTTTCTGGCATTCAATTTCAGTAGTAAAAGCATATACGATGTATTAACTTAAATATATTAGAGATGCTGCTGTACTTTTTGTTGAAATGGATCTGGAGTTCTTGGCACCTTTGCTACTTTACAAAATAAACACATGGGGATGATCTGACAAAGTCACATGTGAAGAGTGGTCCTTTTCAAGGGAAACCTAAATGTATGACAGAGGGGCAATTAGGAGACAAATAAGAGCTGACAGGTTCCCTAAGACAGAGAGATAACTTTATTATTACAGACTGCAGGGAGACCATAAAAATGATTGAAACTGATTTAGGCATTTGTTAATTTAGCCTTAGACAAGCAAAAAAAATTAACATTTATCTTATTGATACTTCAAAAATCTGCATCTTGCATTAGAATGAAACACATGTTAGAAAATTGAAGTTAAGGAAATAGAAATTCTTTTATAATTTCAGAAATAAGCAGAAGATCTGAACTCGGAGTTTCAGAGTTTCTTCTTCTAATGGAAAACACTTCTAAGTGATGAGGAAATTCTTGGATTTATTTGTTTGTTTTAACAAGATCCTGATGCAATTGGCATGATCAGATTTTACAGAAATAATTTAAAGTTGTTTTTGAACACACAGAGGAAGTAATTGGACTACTGGCTATAAAATAATTCAAGTCATAAAGAAAATAGAAATGTTCGATTTCTAATTCTCTGAAGTATACACCTTTTAAAAAAGCCCAAAACACTCATCCAAACACCAGAAACATATTGAGGCTAAGTGAAACAGAACTAAACCCTTTTTAATTTTTTGTTTTCTTCTTCTTTTGCCACCCCTCTTCCCTCCTTCTTTTTTATTCCAGGTAGCAGCCACAGTGTAGTTTATAAATTAGTTGTATATGAGTAGAGTAGTGTACACGAATCATTTGGAATGGGACACAGCTCATCACCAGGGCTTTAAATTACAATTGATGGGGGAAGGAGATGTACTGTTAGGGAACAGAGGAGAGTCAGGGAAGAGAGGAGAGTCAGGGAACACTGTCACTTCAGGAAGCAGCTGGGGAAAACCTCAGATTATTCTGGAGGTTTGTGGGAAGGTTCTTTCAAAAAGGTAATGTAATTAAAAGTTCTGCAGAAGTGCCTCTATTCCAATTTTATATTCTACCAGCATAGAAAAAAAGTGATAAACCATGATGCAATTGGAAAACTATGGTCTCATTTCTATCACAGAAACATGGTGACTCACATGACTGGAATACTAACACTGAGGGCTATGAGCTTTTCAGAAAGGATAGGCAAGGCAGGAGGAGGCTGGGAGGAGGCTGTCCTCTGTTAAGAGGTGGATAGCCTGCATGGAGCTCCCTCTGAGAAACAGTCAGGGACAGGCTGAGAGCCTGTAGGTTAGAATTAGACCAGACCAATAAAGGAGAGCTGGTGGTCAGAGTCTAATACAGACTGCCTGATCAAGGGGAGCCTACAGATGAGGTCTTCTTGCTTCAGCTGCAAGAAGTCTCATGCTCATAGGCTCTCGTCCTGATGGGGGATTTCAGCCACCCAGATATCTGCTGGGAAAGCTACGCAGCAAGCTACAAGCAATCCAGGGGACTCCTGGAGTCCATTCACGACAACTTTCTGGTTCAGGTACTGAACAGACCCATCAGAGGTGAAGTGTTGCTGGACCAGGGGCTCACAATACAGAAGGTTAAGATCAAAGGAAGCCTGGACTGCAGCAACCATATCCTGGTCAAGTTTGTGATCCTGAGGAATGTGGGCCTGGCAAAGACCCTGAATTTCAGGAACCACTCATGTTCCTAAACTTATGAGAGGGGGTGGGAGGAGCAAAATCCCTTGCAGTACAAAAGCAGAGCAAGACTGACACGACCTCATGAGGTTGAATGTGTACAAGTATTTGGGGCCAGATGACATGTATCCACGATGTGGAACTGGCTGGTGTGTTTCCCAAGCTGCTCTCCATCATGTCTAAAAAATTGTGGCTGTCAGGTAAAGTCCCCAGTGACTGGAAAAAGGGAAACATCATTCCCATATTCAAGAAAGGGTGAAAGAAAGACCCGAGGGACTACAGGCTGGTAAGCCTCATCCTCATGCTTGGGAAGATCATGGAATGGATCCTCCTGGAAGAGATGTTAAGGCATAGATGAGGAGGTGACATGTGAGATGAGGAAGAGATTTGAGACAGTCAGCATGGCTTCACCAAGGGCAGATTGTGCCTCATCAATCTGGTGGTCTTCTATGATGGAGGGATGGCACAATTCAACAAAGGAAGGGCAACTGATATCTACCTGAAGACGTGCAAGGCTTTTGGTCCCACATCACATCTTTATCTCTAAATTGGAGAGAGAAGGATTTGAAGGGTGGATTATTAGGTGGGTAAAGTCGAGTGTTGTTCTCAATGGCTCTTTGTCCAGGTGGAGGATGTTCACATGTCTGTCCTGGGACTGGTGCTCTTTACCAATGATTTAGACAGTGGAATTGAGTGTACCCTCAACATGTCTGCTGATGACACCAAGCTGAGTGGTATTGTTGACACAATAGAAGGGAGGGACACCATCCAGAGGGACTTAACGAGCTTATCATGGAATCAGAGAATCACAGACTCCTTAGAGTTGGGGAGACCCTCAAAGTTCATCTAGTACAACTCCTATGCAATGAATACAGATGTGCACAGCTAGATCAGGCTGCCCAGAGCTTGATCCAGCCTTGCCATGAAAGTCTCCACGGAAAGTGCATTGGCCGCATCTCTCAGCAACCTGTTCCAGTGCCTCTGCGCCCTCACTGTAAAATACTTTTTCCATATATCTAACTTAAATCTACCCTCTTTAAGCTTGAAACATTTCCCCTTGTTCTATCACAATAGGCCCTGCTAAATGGTCTGTCCCCTTCTTTCCTGTAGCGTTCCTTTAGATACTGAAAGGTGTCCCTCAGGTCCCCTGGATCTTTCTATTGCCCAGCTGAACAGCAGCTATTTCAGACTGTCCTCGTAGGAGAGGTGTTTCATCCCTTGAGTCATTTTTGTGGCCCTTCTCTGGAACACACTCCAACAGGTCCATGTCTTTCCTATACTGAGGACTCCATATATGGATGCAGTATTCTAAGCGAGGTCTCACTAACAGAGTAGAGGTACAGGATCACTTCCTTCACCCTGCTGGCCACGCTTCCTTTGATTCAGCCCAGGATACTGTTGGCTTTCTGGGCTACGAGGGCACAATGGAGGCTCTAGTTTGCAATCCACCAGTACCCCAAGTTTGCAATCCACCAGTATCCCAAGTCCTCTTCAGCAAGGCTGTACTCTATCCTTAGATTTCCTAGCTTGTATTGATATCAGGGGTTGCCACAACCAAAATGCAAGATCTTGCACCTGGCTTTGTTGAACCTCATGAGATTCTCCTGGACCCACTGCTCAAGCCTTGTCTAAGTCACTCTGGATGATATCGTATCCATCTGGTGTGTTGACTGGACCTCACAGCTTGCTGTCATCTGAAAAATTGCTGAGGGCACACTCAACCCCACAGTCAATGTAATTGATGAAGATATTAATGAGTATCAGTTCAGCACTGACCACTGAAGGACATCCAGCCATTGAGCCATTGACCACCACTCTCTGGATTCGGTCCTGCAACCAGTTATTCATTGAACAGCCCACCCATCAAATCCACATCTCTCCAATTTGGAGAGAAGGATATTGTGGGGTACTGTGTCAAAGGCCTTACATAAGTCCAGATAAATGACATTGGAGGCTCTTCCATTGCCCACTATTGCTGTTACATCATCATAAAAGGCCACTAGGTGAGTCAAGCAGGATTTGCCCTTGGTGAAGCCATGCTGTACTTCTATATCACTTTCTTGTCTTCCATGTGCCTTAGAATGGCTTCCAGGAGGACCTGTTCCATTATCTTTCCTGGCACAGAGGTGAGACTAACAGGTCAGGCGTCAGGATCATCCTTTATACTCTTCTTAAAAATGAGTATGTTGCCTTTTTTTCAGTCACCAGGGATTCCTGTTCACCTGATTGCTGTGACTTTTCAAATATGATTGAGAGTGGCTTGGAGACTACATCAGCCAATTTCCTTAGGACTCTGGGATGTATCTAATTGGGACCCATAGACTTATGGATGTTCAGGTTCCTCATGTGGTCACAAACCTGATCTTCACTGGGATGGACATTGCTTCCTGAATCCCCTCCTACCAAACGAAACACGTGAGGGCTGTGTGGCTAACAGTTATCAGAGAAAAACAAGGCAAAAAAAGTTGTTGAGTTTACTTCAACCTTCTTGTACTCTGTCTGCTTGTATCACTCAGTAGGGGGGTACACTCTCCTGGTATTTCCTTTTCTGGTTGAGGTAGCTGCCTTTCTTGTTCTTCTTGGCACCCCTTGTCATGTTTAGTTCATGCTGAGCCTTAGCTTTCTTGATCCCATCCTTGCACAGCCTAGCAGATTCCTTAAGTTCTTCCCATGGTACCTGCCCTGTTTCCACTGCCTGTGCATTTTCTTGTTTTTCGGTTTGACCCGCATGTCCCAGTTTAGCCACGCTGTTCTCTTGCTTTCCTTTCCTGACTTGCTACACCTGGGGATGGAGAACTCTTGCAACCTGAGGAAGGCCTCTTTAAAGATCTGTCAGCTCTGCTCTGCACTCTTGCCCATGAGGACTGTTTCCAGAGTATTTTGTTGATTAACTTCCTGAAGATCTGGAAGTTTTCTTTCCTACAACATAGCATTCTGATTTCATTCTTTGCTGGCCTCATATCCCTTGGAGCGTTAACTCAACCACAGCATGGTCACTACAGTCCAGGCATCCTTTAATCCTGATGTCACTAATCAGTTCATTTGTGTTGGTGAGTAACAGGTCCATTATTGCTTCTTCGAGGAGGAAGATATGTTTAATTAGCTGGGGAATTACCTTCTCCATTTCCATACAAATTTAATTGATTCTCACTGTTTCCCCTTTGCCAGCTGCAACAATGAAGTTTAGAAAAAGCATTCATTTGGTCCTTTTCACAATCTTCATTTTTGTTGAAATCTGTATTGTGTTCATTTACATATTCAAATAAACAGAAATAAGAGAATGATAGCCTCTCAGATGTTTCTAATGGGGCATTTCTGTAACTGTAGTGAAGTGCAGAGAAGGGCTGATTATATCCAAACTATT